TAACAGAGTAAGGTTTCTATGGGGTTTTAGATTGGTACCCTTGAGTGGGCAACTCAAGGGGGAAAGGCACGAAATTGTCGACTGCACCGCTGATCGACTAGTTTTACCGCAAATACGCTTTTCCGAATTTAGGGGGTAATGATATAGGAAGAGCACAACCACACATCAAGCGTTTCTATAGTATTTGTTTGGCACAAGTGGAATATGATGTTGAGCATGACTATGCGATAATTAATAGCATGTTGACATGTATTTGCACGTTAAGAAAGCGATAAATATAGTAGTTTTATAATTTAAAGCAATAGTAAAGGAAGGAAACAAGAAAGATATGTCAGTTTTGCTTTTGAAGAAGAAATGAAATGCTTAAAGAAACTAAATAAGTAATTGCACATAGGGAGGTTACAAATTCACAATAAAGATATGAAATGGTAAAATCCTAAATATCCCCAGCAGAGTCGTCATGCTGTCGCGCCCCTCGTTTTCCCTCTGCGGAGAGGAATCTGGGTTTCGACATTCATGGGGTGTGATGACTCATTTCCTTTTTGGAATTGGGTATCGCATTTTTGCAGAGTCACCACCTAATGATTTTTAGAGTGCGTTAGGGCACCTACAAGGTATATCTACAACTACGTTTGATAACCAGAGATAGGGTAAGGGCTTGAAATTATCCTAAGGGGAAGGTGTTAGGCACCCCTCAGGATCCACTAGTGTGGTTCCCGGCTAGACAGTTTTTGTGAATTTGTCAATTAGCAAATAAACAACTAAGGCTCAAGTAATAAGGGATTTAAGTTTAAATACACAAGTGTTTGAAAACAATTATTGAAGGGCGAAATTTTGAAAAGAGTTATAATCTAAGGCATGCTTATGAATATAAAAGGGGGTGTCCTAGGTTTGTTTGTAATATAGATAACATCAATGCAATAGCCGGTATGATACTCCTCAGAAGAGGGGATACACGTGGTATTAGCTCACCTGTCATCATATCCATATCTACTCCTCCTCCCCCCATGAAGGTAATTAAAGTGAGGGTTGATCTCGACTTCTATTGCAATTTGTTACCCATCCCATTCCTATCAGTCCCGAAGGAATTTAGGATACCTATTCCTATAAGAAGGAGGTTCTAGGCAGACCCTCAGGTTTAAAGGCATAAATAATAAAACGACATACAAAAACATATAAGACTGCACTTAGAGGGGGAAACATATAAGCAAGTAATAGGCTTATGCATACCTCCACAAATAATGAACATAGACAGCATGACTAATGCACAACTAAGGTCTGAATTTAAAATCCTAGAGCAGGGTGCTTAAGTTGTTGCAGCAGAACCAGTTATCTGAAGTTCGAATCAGGCTTGCCTGCTGGTTGTAATAGTTGATAATTAAACAAAGGCAGTTCCAGTTTTATTTAAATTATTACCTAAGGCTTGCCTAGGCGCAAAGCGAGATGCAACAGTTGTTCGGAATTGTTAAGACAGTTTGGAGATTATTATTACCTAAAACATGTTGTTCTAGTTGCAGAGGCTATTACCAGTTAATTAGAAACTTCACAATGTGAAAATTGTTAATTGACTACCTTTTTCTATGAATCAGTAATTAACTAGGCGTTTTAAACAAAATGCAAACAGGACCCTAGAATATGGTATCTACATGCAAATTGCAAGGTTTGTTGAAAACAGAATCCCTAAGGCATGATTTCTAAATATAAACAAGAGTTGCAGAATTTTTGAAATAACATCTTTTTATACCAGTGTTGTTATTGTCCTAGGAGCATGATTTCTAAGTGATATACGTAAAGCATGGACTAATGAATGAAATGCTGAAGCAAGAAAACGTAAGTCCTAAGAACATGATTTTCTAATACACGTATGAACCCTAAACATTTTTCTATTGCACGGTCAGGAATATATAAACCTAATAAACATGCCTTCTACCCTTTAACAACTATAGCATGCATATTTCTAATCCCTTTTCACTAGCCACCCCAATACTTGTTTACAAATTATTACAGATCGTGTGATAGAATTACATAAGAAAGTGCAAAAAATAAGAAGTTACAACTATAGGAAGCCTGATTCTGACTTCCTCTCTGAGTTATGTAATAAACCATCTCAAATGCCAATATTGTTCCAAAGCCTTTCTCATATCTGGGCATGTCAGAGTTTTCTAAGGACCTTAAGAGATCCCGGGCAGTGCTCACACCCAGATTGCATAACCAAAACAAAGTGAGTGCAGTGTGGAAAAGGCAAGCTCTTATGTGTCTAGGTTTAGAGGGAGCTCAAGGGTCCTAAAGCTGGGCTCACACAAGAGGGGCAGAACCTAATGATTTAAGAGTGCATGTAAGTGTGCTTGATATAGACTCAAAGGAGTTGATTTGGAAAATAGTTTTGGAAACAACATGTTTGAAGTGAGTTTGTAAAACAGCAAAAGAATTGCCTAATAAAATAGTTTTTTAAAAGGGAAAGGGGGTAGGAGCAACAACATACATACAAAACAAGTTCAGAGACAAGTACATGCTTCAGTAGTTACAAACAGGGCAGTAGGGTTGGGGACATAGAAGACCCAAAACAGAAACACATAAGTAGTCATGAATCAAGTACATTAGAAGACATGCTAGTTAAGGGACATAAGTAGGAACAAGTAGACATGCTAATTACATTCGAACAAAAGAGGGCAGAATTTTAAGCATGTTGAGTAAAGCAGTAAACGAAAGGTGCAACAACATGAGTCATTAAGTTAGTGTAGAAAAGATAGTGATTGACAACAAGGGAACACAGAAGTTTGAGTTTCAGAATTTTAAACTAGGGACATACCAGTTGAAGAAGCAAAGTGCAAGAAAATAAAAGTAAAGCAATCCGAATTCCACAGTCTAGCCTTGGCTTTCAGCAGACTAGACAAGTCAGTAGCACAAGTAGTAGAGAAAGAAAGAGAGTTTGAATGTGTAAGTGTATGTTTTTGAACTCAGTTGTTCGTGTGTTTAGAGAAGAGAGGGTAGGGTATTTATAGCTTTGAAAACGAGTAGAAAATAAGGTAACAAGTTTAACACAAATATGGAAATAATCACAATCAGAATCTCATTAATACAAGTAATTCCCTTTAATAAAGGAATTACTACTTAACGGATACCAACATGGATAATTAAAGAAAGAAATCAGTTTTGAGAAAGATTGATTCTTACCATATAAGTGGGTAGTAAAGGTATAGAGTAAATAATTGAGTCTAAGTGCAAAATATACTTAATTTTGGGAAAGGATTCAATAGGGGTAAAACAACACAACAAAGGAAGGGAATCAATCAATTTAAACAAAACGAGTAAAACTACGGGTTTATAAGAAAACCTTGCAATCAAATCGTAACTTAAGGAAATCAAGATCAATAAAGAAGGGGTCATGATTCTGCATTTCAACATATAAATAGAAAGGAATGTACAGGCGTATCAAACATGCAGAGTCAAACATATTGACAAAAAGGAGCAAACTAGATGAAAGTAAACATACAAAAGTGATATAGATAGGCTAAGGACTATTCAAAGCATGGTAATCAACAAGGTCGAGTAGTCATGGCTCACACATAGAACCAAAGTGAAGAAACCAGTCTACCACATAGCAACAGGTAAAGGAGGTCAGACCAACACATGAAAATAAGTAGAGGAACAAATGAGAAAAGTTTTAGGAAATAAGAGTTTTAACAAAACGGTAAGAACTCAGAATCAGTCAATACAAACAAAGCAAAGGATTTAGCCTTGAAGAACTCAATCGAAATAGGCATACATAACAAAATATAGTTTCAGAACCCCAAATAAAACCAATGATACTTAGGGTTTTAACACAATGAACTAGGTAGAAGAAAAACATAAAAACATTGTTTAAACGTAGTAATATCATAAAACAACACTGAAAATCGGAGAAGAGATCTTTTAAAAGAAGTTAAAAAAACCCTAATCGTTGAAGACGAAATCAGAAAACCTTTAAGGAAAACACTTAAGAAGTTTATAACATACAAAGATCTAAGACAGATCTGAAAGAAAATCGGAAACCTTTACAGTTAGGGTTTCGGAGAACCTAAAAAAATGAGAAAGACATCGAAAGTTACCGATCTAGCAGAAAAAACCATAGATCTGACTCGAACGGCCATGGATGGCCGGGAAAAGACCATACATAGAAGTTGAGCAAAGACTGGACTAGATCTCTTTGAGATATTTCCATGAAATCACGAAAACAAGCAACCAGAAGCCATAGGAGACCGGTACACGTCTCAAACAACCATGGGAGTCCATGGATTGGTTGAGAATCGAAGGGGATTAGGGTTAGTTTGGATGGTGGCGGGTTGGTGGAAATGAATTAGGTTAAGGGGGTCGTTTGGGTTTATTTTAGGCAGGTGGAATGGTGGTTGTTGATCTGAATGATCAACGGCCCAGGTTAAATGGGGTAGGTGGGGATCCAGGTTTGGGTAGGGTTTAAAAGGGTTAGGGTTGGGTTTAATTAGAAATCGGGCCGGGGAATTGGGTTTTGATTTGAAAGCAATTTGGCTAAAATTTAAATAGCCATTTTTTCCTTTTTTAATTTATAAAAAATAGTAACTGGTTTCTGAAAATTAATTTAAATACTAAAATGATTTATAACACATAAAAATTTAAAAATACAGGATCTAATTTTATGTGTATAAAACATAATTAAATCTTAAAAGGGCTAATATTGCAATTGTGTGCAAATTTAGCTTTAAAAATACTAAATGAAATTGTAAAAATATGTAAAATTAATTTATCCATATTTTGGCATAAATATAAAAATCCAATAGATGAATTATCAAAATAATAATTTTGGAAATAATTATTGGGGATTTTATGGATAAAAAAGGAAAATAAATCAAATTAAACCTTTAAAATTATGGAAAAATAATCAAACACTTGGACATGCTTATATATGCATACATATGCTATTTTGAAGGTATTTTGTATATTAAAAATATATAGGAAAAAATTAGGTATCAACACCATGGTTAGCAATGGGAGATTTTAATACAGTATTGACTAGTCAGGATCGACACCATGGTACAATAATACAAGATATGGAAACAAAAGATTTTAGGAAATTCATGAATGATACAAGAATGAATGAGTTACCTACTGTGGGAAGGGATTACACATGGATAAATAATCATACATATAGCAAAATTGATAGAGGATTGGTAAACATAGACTGGATGATAACAATGCGCAGTATGAGTATACAAATCCTAGAGCCATCTTTCTCTAACAATTCCCCACTTAAGCTGATGATTTCACAAATGCAGAGGAAGAAAACCAGCCCATTTAGATTTTTCAATTGCATTGCTAAGCATCCTCAATTTATACCAGAAGTAGATCAAGCATGGAACACAACTGGAGGAGATTGGAAGCTACAGGGAGTCAAGAACAAACTAAAAAGAGTTAAGCAAGTTATTAAGAGGCTCAACACTCAATATTACAAAGGTGTGGAGGACAGAATCAGAGTAATCAGAAGGGAACTGCAGGAAGTGTATGAGAAAATAAGCTGTAGAATGTTGAATGCAAAATTAATTGAGGAAGTAAATGAACTAAACAGTAAATTGGAGAAATGGATACTAATAGAGGAAAGAATTTATAGGCAACGATCAAGGGTACAGTGGCTGAAGTTGGGAGATAATAACTCTGCATATTTCTTTGCTCATATGAATAATAGGAACATTTTGAACGGAATAGATGATCTCACGAATGATCTAGGGGTGCAGTTACATATGGAGGAGGAAATAGAGACAGAGATACTTGGATACTATAAATAATTGCTTGGTTCAAATGCTCCTGCAATCCCAGCAATAGATCCAAATGTAATGAAAAGAGGGGCAATGATCAAGAGAGAACAACAAGTTAAACTAATCCTGCCTGTCACAAAACAAGAGATATGGGAAGCTTTACAAGATATAAATGATTTGAAAGCCCCAGGATATGATGTTCTCAATGCAGTTTTCTTTAAGAAATCTTTGCATATCATTGGGGAGGAGGTAACACAAGCTGTGCTAGATTTCTTTCAGACATCACAGATGTTTAAGCCAGTTAATTTTACCTTAATAACTTTAATTCCTAAAGTTAGAAATCCTTCTACGATTAAGGAGTATAGACCTATTTCATGTTGCGCCACACTCGACAAAATCATCTCAAAGTTCTTGACCAGTAGACTACAAGGAGTTATGGATAATCTAATAGATAAGACCTAATTTGCTTTTGTCCCCAAAAGAGTAATTGTTGACAACATCATTCTAAGCCATGAGTTAGTAAAAGGGTATAGAATGAAAGGAGTGTCTCCTCGATGCATGATGAAATTGGACATGCAGAAGGCATATGACTCACTTTAATGGCCATTTCTTGAGCAGGTTTTGAGAGTATTGGCTTTTCCAGATCAGTTTGTGCAATGGATAATGACTTATGTACAAAGTGTTACATATACTATCATGTTGAATGGTTCACTAACACAACCATTTGAAGTCAGGAAAGGACTTTGACAGGGGGATCCACTATCCCCTTTTCTTTTTGTGCTGGCAATGAAATATTTCACAAGAAGATTGAAGGCATTGCATCACATCCAGATTTCAATTATCATCCTAAGTGTGCAAAGATGCAAATCATGTAGCTTGAATTTGCAGATGATCTTTTGTTGTTTTGTAGGGGTGACATTGGTTCAATTTAGCTACTATACAATTGCTTTCTGGATTTCTCAAAAGCATCAGGATTAGAAATTAACAAGAAGAAAAGTTCCATATTCTCTGCGGAGTATCACAAGCTACTTAAATAGACATACTGGAGCTCCCGTGAATTAAAAAAAATGAGTTGCTAGTAAGATACCTGGGAGCACCTCTAAGTTATAAAAGGGTCTCACTAGTTCAATTTCAACCTCTACTTGACAAACTAGCGGGAAAAATTACATCCTGGACAACCAAGATATTGTCAAATACAGGGCGACTACAGCTCATCAAAAGTGTTTTGTTCTCCATTAAAAACTATTGTGCTCAAATATTCATGCTCTTAAAGAAGATTACCAAGTTTACTGAGGCAATTTGCAGAAGTTTTTTATAGACAGAAGATAGTAATATTTCAAAGAAAGCTCTACTAGCTTGGGAGAAAGTGTAACGACCCGACTGATCATTTTGAAAATCTGCACTTTGCTCGGTAACTTGAGGGCTCGAGTATCTCAGCATGATGTATTATGACTTGCGTAAATTGTCGATGTTGGTTTTCAAGTTATTCGGAATCGATTTGGAATAATGAACTTCATGATTTAAGTTCTAAGTTGGAAGAATTGACCAAGTTTGACTTTTAGTATTAAACCTCGAAATAGAGTTTCGTCAGTTCTGTTAGCTCCATTGGGTGATTTTGGACTTAGGAGTGCGTCCAAATTGTAAATTAGAGGTTCGTAGTCGTATTAGTCTTGAATTGAGAAAAGTTGGATTTCTGGGAAGTTTGACCGGGAGTGGCATTTTTGATATCAGGGTTGGATTCTGATTCTAGAAGTAGGAAGTGGTCCTTAATGGCAAATGTCACTTGTGTGCAAAGTTTGAGGTCAATCGAAGGTAATTTGATAGGTTTCGGCATTGACTGTCGAAGTTGAAGTTTCAAAGTTCATTGATTTTGACTTGACGTGTGGATTCATCGTTTCAAGATTGTTATGTGTGATTTGAAGCTTTAAGTAGGTTCGTTTGGTCATATAGAACTTGTCTGGAATATTTGGCTCCATTCGGAGTTAATTTGTTATGGTTCGGAGGCTTGGTTGCGATTCTAGAAGTTTAGTTTGATTTTAAGCATGTTGACATGCGATTCATGGTATTAGAAGTTATTTGATGATTTGAGTGCACGAGCGAGTTCGTGTTGTGGTTTTAGACTTGTGTGCCTATTTGATTTGGATCCCCGAGGGCTCGGGTGAATTTTGGATTGGTTTCGGAATGATTTTTCTTAATTGCTGATTGTTGGTTCTGCTTTCTTCGCATTCGCAAAGTTCTGATTACAAATGCGGCCATTGCATTTGCGAAGCCTGGGTGACTGGACAATTTTCGCATTTGCGAAAGCTGGTTTTCACATTTGCGGAGGTTTGGTCGCAAATGTGACCTTAATAGGGAAGTCTCCAGGTTCGCAATTGCGATGAGTTTTTCGCATCCTATCGCAATTGCGACATCTGTAACTTATTAAGTGCTGAGATTTCCGAGTTTTTACTTTATTTTAATATTTTTGAACCCTATTGTGATGACCCAAAAGGTCATCACTAGTTTTCAAGTAAATTATGTAATCTGAGGCCTTAAAATCTCTTTTTGTCTTGCCTCAATTTGCGTGCGCAGTCCGGGCGCATTTCCAGAAAGCTTTTATGTGAAAACTAAGTGAAATAAGAAAATTTGCTTTTAGAATTTAATAAAGTTGACTTTGGTTAATATTCTTGGTAAACGGGCCTGGACCCGTGATCTGACAGTCTCGTAGAGTCCGTAGTAAATTTTGGGACAAGGGCATATGCCCGGAATCGAATTCCGAGGTCCCAAGCTCGAGAAATGAATTTTTAAAGAAAATTATTTTCTGGAATATATAAGAGTTTTTGGAAATGAAAGACGTTTGGAATTGATGGTATCGGGCCTCTATTGTGGTTTTGGAGCCCGATGCGAGTTTGAAATAATAATTAGGTTCAATCTGTAAAATTTGATAAAGATCGGAATTGGTTTGGTATAAATTGAACCTAAAGTTGAGAAATTGGAAATTTTGGTGTCATTGAATGATTTCATGAATTTGGGGTTTAATTCATATTTGTTGATGTTATTTTGATGATTTGATTGCATGAGCAAGTCCGTATGATATTTTTAGGTTAGTGTACATGTTTGGTTTGGAGTCCTGAGGGCTTGGGTGAGTTTTGGATAGGCCACGAAGTGAAATGTGACTTAGGAAATTGTTGGTGTGTTGCAGGTCTGCAAGCTTCGCAATTGCGAAGCCTGGCTCCCAAATGCGAAGTTGTATCGCAAATGCGAAGATGGCCTGGGCAGGACTTGATCACAAATGCGACCATTTCAACGCAAATGCAAAAGGGGCCAGAGTCGCAAATGCGACTTATTCTTCGCAAATGCAAAGATAGCAGACTTCTTAATGCGACATCAGAGATCAGTTAATTGGGACTTAGACGCATTTTTTTGCATTTTTCAAACATTTTCAAAACCTAAACACCTTTGGGAGATTTTTCAAAGACAACTACTCTTCCAAATCGATTGTAAGTCATTTGTAACTCGTTTTCTCTAATCTTTAACATCTTTTCACATGATTTCAACTCAAAATCAAGGGTTTTCATGGGGAAAATTGGATGTTTTGGATAGAACTTAGGTTTTTAAAATTTTGGGGATTTGGACCTCGATTTGGGGTCCGATTTCATAACAAATTATATATTTGAGTTCGTGGGGGAATGGGTACTCAGGTTTTGGTTCGAACCTCAAGTTTTGGTCATGTGGGCCCGGGGTCGATTTTTGACTTTTTGGGGAAATCTTTATAAAACCTATTTTCATGCATTAGAATTTATTCATTTAGCATTTATTGATATTGTTAAGTAAATTGTAACTAGATTCAAGCGAATTGGTGGTGGAATCGAGGGGTAAACCGATAGTTGAGGCTTGAATTATGTTTGTGGCTTTGAGGTAAGTGTTTGGTCTGGCCATAGCTTGAGGGATTAGGAGTTGTGTCTTATTGGCTATGTGTTAATTATGGAGTACAACGTATAGGCATGGTGACGAGTATCTATACGTCGGTGTCAAGCATGCCCGTGAGTCTCGTATAGGAATTGTTGTGACTCCGTTGTGATTTATTCATGCTTAATATGTTGAGTTCCCTTGTCGGGATGTATTTGTTTATGATAATGTCTCCCTTGCCGGGATGTTATTGTTTATGATATTGTCTCCCTTGCCGGGATATTATTGTTTATGATATTATTCCATTCCCAGAATGTTGTTGGTATACTCTTGTTCCCTTGTCGGGATTCTTTTATGATTGATGTTCAAAAGTAAATGGGAGCTGGTGGCACTCCACCACAGTAATATATGAAATGGGAGCGGGTGGCACGCCACCACGGTAATATATGAAATGGGAGTGGGTGGCACGCCGCCATGATAATATATGAAATGGGATCGGGTGGCACGCTGCCATGGTAATATTTGAAATAGGATCAGGTTGCACGCCTGCAACAAGGAAGAAATGAAAAGTGAATACCGTGTTTGTTTTCCTTATTCTTGTTGGCAATTAAACTTTGGTTTCTTTACATTCCTCTTTTGGTATTCTGTAGTTATCTGATACTCCTCGCAACATACTTTCCCCCTCCCATCTTCAACTGTAAATATCTGCTTTTATTTTTCCACTGTATATGATATAATTGCACAGGTTTATTTGGTAGTCTGGTCCTAGCCTCGTCACTACATCGCCGAGGTTAGGCTAGGCACTTATCAGCACATAGGGTCGGTTGTTCTGATACTACACTCTGCACTGTGTGCAGATCCTGGTGTTGCAGCTTTCGGATCGTAGTGAGGTTGTTGCCTTTAGTCCAATAGGCAACCCGAGGTAGACCTGCAGGCGTCCGCAAGCCTTGGCGTCTCCTTCTATTATTTCCTACTGTTTTTACTTATTCAGAGACAAATTCGTGTATTTCTATTCAGACTTTATTTGTAGTATTCGTAGATAGCCCGTGACTTTGTGACACCAACTTCTGGGTAGTGTTGTATTTCGGATTCATGTAATAATATTTGGTTAAATATTAAGTTTTCGTCTTTTGTATTTCTGG